ACTCAGCTCTATAAGCTATTATGGATTTATAGGAGATGAGTCCTGAATGCTGTGGGTGCTATGAGTGCAGGACTTGGAGCCTCTTGAGCTCAGAAAGAGAGTGCGGTGGTCAGGGAACTTGAGGGGCAGCAGACATGTGTTGAGTGTGGGCTTTTGTGTTTTGTTTTGTTTTATAATGGTCCAGTTTTCAGCTTATATATTTAAAGAAATGGTGCTTCCTCTGTCTGAAATGGTCTTTACCTATTCTCCTCCATTTTACCTGTCAAAATCAGTCTTGTCACTCTAATGAGTGATATACATGCTGAAGTATTTAAGGGGGAAGTGTTATGCCTGCCATTTATTTTGAAATGCAGTAGCAACATCAGTAAAATAAGATGGCTTGGTAAAATAAATAGAGGAATGGAGAGAAGGGAAAGATGTGATAAAGCAGGTATAGAAAAAGTGAGTGGTAGATTCTAGGTAGTGGCAATATAGTGATCACTGTAAAATTTCATTCTGTAAAAAACTTTTCTGTATGTATGAAATTTTTCATAATAAAGTGTTGAAGAAAATACAAAATATCCTTAAAGGCCTAGCTTATGGCCCACCACTTTGGGGAAGGCTTTCTAGATTCCCTGAGTTATTTGTGGCCAAATACCATGCACGCTACTAGAACCTCTTTCGTGGCACTAGTTGTCATCTGACGTGTAGAGCTGGTTTGCTCTTGTATCTTAACCCTTGTGTGGGACAGTGAACTCTTGGCAGGCATTATATCCCTGATGCATCAGACAGGCATCATAGGCACAAAGTAGATGGTCCTCACATGACTGTAGGATTAGTTTAGGAATATCATGATTAACTTTAAAGTTAACTTCGTTGAAATTTCTTTTTGCAATGTAAGGTTCACTGGATAAAGCACCACCGTGTGTGTGTGTGTGTGTGTGTGTGTGTGTGTGTGTGTATTTGGAAGAGAGAGAGAGAAATGAGAAATGAGGGTTCACATTTCCCACACCCAACATCCTGATCATGGCTGCAAAAAAAAAAAAAAAAATGCTGCTGTGTGGACCAGAGACCCATTGCCAGTTATACCAATGGTGGCTGGTGCCGCTGAGCTCCCTATCCTTGGTAAGGGAATTCTATAACTTAGTACCATGATTCAAATCCAGAGCTCTGGACTGTATGGATCCATTCACTTTAGAGGGTCAGGCTATAGAAAGAAAAATAGGTCTCAGGATGTCTTATCAGGGTCACTGACAAGAATCCATTTGGAACCTAGTTGATTTCCCCAAAATATGTACAACCCCAAGCAGCCAAAAAAAATATTCCAAAATCATTTGGAATGGCATACTTGTTTCCTAAAAAGTGAGCATATTTTAATTCTAGGAAGATTTAGAAATAAAAGTAAAAGATGTTAATAGAATCAAAGCTATAGTACTAGTATTTTTACTTAAAGGATATATGCATATTTGATACTTCAAGAAATTATTTAAAACAATTGCCCCCAAAATAAAATAAATTGGCCCATTTAACAGGTTAACCTGTATTGCTAAATTAAAATGTGCCAAGGAGTAATTAATTTAGATTTGATTTGAGGGAGGATTGAGGTCTTACTAGATTTGTAAGCAATATTAGAGTATTTAGGATAATTTATTAAATTTTTAAGAATTGTTTAAGGAAAGGTTTTTATAAGTTGAATCACATAGTTCTAATATTGAAAAGAATTAAATACAGTATAAATTCAATACAGTTTTAAATGTTTAAAGGGGTTTAGGTTTGTAAAAATGGCCATCCATTATTCAAATGGACCTTTGAAAGTGATTATAAAAATTGTAATATGAGTTGAACTTACAATTTCAGAATGAATTAGGTATTAAAAGTTTTTCTTAAAAAAAAACTAAGCAAATGAAATTTTATTTATATATATATATATATATATATATATTTATATATATATATATATATATATAAACAGGTAAACCTAAATAGTGTTTTTTTTTTGTGCACAAAGCCACCCTGATGGTCATTAAAAAAATTCATATGAAATAAAGTGATTAACACTTGCTTCGATCAAAATAGATGCTTCATATTAGTTGAATTTTTAAAGTTGTAAAAATAGCCGAGTTAGAGTTGCTCAGGGGTTGAGCATCAACCCATGAATCAGGAGGTCATTATTTGATTCCAGGTCAGGGCACATGCCTGGGTTGTGAGCCTGATCCTCCAGTAGGGGGTATGCAGGAGGCAGCTGCTCAATGATTCTCATCATTGTTGATTCTCTCTCTTTTCCTCTCCCTTCTTCTCTGAAATCAATAAAAATATATTTTTTAAAATTATAAAAATAAAATAAAAGTTTCTTTCTAGGAAAAAGAAAAATTGAATCAATGATATTCCTTAAGGAGGCAAGAAGAAACATATAAGAACCTCTGGTAAATTACTCTTTATGGCTTGAAATATGGTCTAAAAGAAACACATAGTTTTAAGGGTCATCTTATAAAGCATAGGGACGTGAATTATGAAAGGTGTTCAGTGAAATGATGACGGTAGCATAGTGCTCTGCACCGTAAATACCCAGTGAGCGCCTATTGGAGAAGTACCAACTTTTAGAAGCATTGTAATCAATGAGTTGATATTGTTTAACTCTAAGGGGTGCCATTTGTGTAGACTACAGGGTCTACACAAATGTGGTCATCCTAGATATTGACCTCATTCATTCAACCAAATGCCATAAGAAATTAAGTTAGTTGTGTAGGTGATGTATTACATGTAACAAGTAATTCTGTCTACTTTCACAGAGAATATGCTGTGTGAGGCAGGAGACATTTTTGCCATCTGGATAAGGTTCAGATAAAATTGAAAAGGGTGCACAGTGAGGCCCCGAGCTGGACCATGCTTGGCTCGTTCGCAGACATTGTCATTTAGGTCTGGCTTCTGGTAATTAGGCACTCCTAGCTGGGCCCTGCTGTCTGCAAGCCTTTGAGACAAATTGCAAAATCTGTACAACCATCTGAGAGATGGGAGAAGTAGACCTGATGACACTACAAGGAGATATTGGTAGTTCTCAAAAAAGTTTGAAAGGGAATCCTTAGAGAAGCAATCCTCAAAACTGAATTTCCAGGTTCTTTTTCTGCAGTTGAAGGGTGAGTTCAAGTTATAGAATCAGGATCTGAGAAGATCCCAACAGGCTGGAATGACAGGCTTAATCTAATGGGATGAAATACAAATGTCAGTTTGTATTTGGATTTGAAAATTCTAACTATGCTTAAAAGGACTGGGCACAGATATTAAAAGAACATAGGAGTTAAAATTGACGCATGTTGGCAGTTTATTGTTGTCCCCCCAAATCAGAGGCATTGCTGCATGAGCATGTGGAGCATTTAGGACGAGTGAGGTGATGTACCCACTCTGCTGTGGAGCTGTCCCAGCAGGAGCATCCCTGCAGTTCTGGGCTTCAGGCTTTGCAAGGAAAATAGACAAAGGATGGTCACAGGATGTGTGGGGGGAGTGCTCCAAAGCTTGTCACAGATAACAAAGGAGTAGGGGAGGCTTGGCCTGGACACAACTCCAGGAGGATCTGAAAGCTGTCATTAGTATCTGAAAGTTAGCCATGTGCATCAGTGGCTAGCCTTGATTCTTATGAAGAGGAACAAGAAAAACCTGAGGAAGAAAGACACAAGAGGCCACAGATAAGGAAGGTCCTTTTAATCTTAAATGTTTTAAGATGAAATGGACCGGTTCCTGAATTCTAGAAGTGCTGGCGTCAGCTAATAAGGATTTAGATTTTAAAGAGTGAGAGTGGATAACCCATAGACACTTTCCAGCCCCAAGCCTCCACGGTTCCTTTGTCTTCTAGGGCTGACAGTGCATTGCAAGGTCCTAGCACACACGGGGGGGGGGGGGGGGGGGGGGGGGGGTATAGACAGAAACGTGCTTACAGGAATGTTCTAGACAATGATGGGACAGTATTTAGAATTCTTAGACAAGATTTCCGCCAGGACACTCTCACGTTGGTCTTCATTAGTGCTGCAGACTTTTCCCTCTGCGAGGGGCGGGGTGGACGTGGCCACTGTCTTTCAGCAGAGGCTGTGTTACTTCCTTGTTTGTTCTTTCAATAGGAGCCGAGCTTGGGGAGTAAGACCAAGTTCTTGCTCTCTTCAGGGAGTATGTCTGGGAAGTAAGACAGCAAGCACAAATTATACAACTAGCTATACAGTTACGATTATAGTTACAGTTTGAACCCATGCCTTGTAAGAGTGGGTTTTTATGTCATATAGTATTACATTTCCTCACTCAGCTGTGGGGTATACTTTCCTGTTATAGTTCTTTGAAGTCACGTAATCTGTTTGAAACTTCTCTCTCCTGGAGGGGTACTGATGGAAAGTTTTTGGGTATACTTTTAGACACTTTCTCCCCCTTCCTTCCATCCCCCCCCCAAAAAAAAAAAAAAAAAAAAAACAAAAAGAGATTATAAAGCCTTGAGGAGGTTGAGTCATTCTTTTTCACGGACACAGTCTTGTGTGTAGGTACTAATGCAGTGACTACTTTTAGGAGGTGTCTGTTTTCATACTATTCACTTACCATTGTAGGGTTTCTGTAGCCACAGCAGCTCGTTCTCTTGTGGCTATAATCCCTCTAACTAGTGGTAACTACAAGTAGAAACCTGGGTGAGAAGGAATGGATATGAGAAATAAGACTAAACAGACGGGGTTTGCGGATTCCCACACTAATGCTTCTATTTGTTGCTTACACAAGTGACCACCCATTTAGATGCAAGCATGCAAGGAAACAAAAAGGCACGCTTTTAAAAAGCAAATTTCTATCCTCAATTGCCGATTGAAGTTCAGAATTAATGTCCCCCATCTTATTTTCTCCTAGTAAGTATTTTTGCAAACAACAATGGCACTGTTTTATTGTCGTAGCCTTAATAAACTTACAGCTGTAACAGATTCTGTTTTATACCCGTAGCTTGCAGAGGCATTTTAAAAATGTTTATGATCCACCTTATTGTAAATTCTTCTTTCTTGCAGGTAGGAATGAATTGATAGCCAGATACATCAAACTCAGGACAGGGAAGACGAGGACCAGAAAACAGGTAAAATAACCTCCCTGGAAATTGTGCATGTCAGCGAATGGCCCAAGGAGGCATTTTGGCTGCAGTGGCTGTCTGTGCTTTGGCTCCTTGGAGCCCTCATTTTGAGTTCCCTGTAAGGACGTCAGTGATGTTTTAAATTGGTGTTTTAAATTGGCTCAGTTTTCACTGTTCATCATTTCAGTGACCCTTGACTATGTGGTCTTAAGAGCCCTTTTTAAACATATGGGAAAGTTTTACTAAGGACAGTATATAAAACTGCTCCTGCACCGTTATTTTAAAAGTTATATTTCTTTTCCAAACGATGCATCTGCAAACACTACATATTTGCTGCAGGTGCAAATATACTTGCAAGCCATGAAATTTTGAGATTTTTGTGCATTGTGAAATCCTGGAACAACTGCAATATTAGTCATCATTTCAATGAAAAAGTAACACTAGCAGCCGTGAGTATTGGCCTGAATATGATACTGAATGATGTGCGTCCAGGGAACCGTTGCTCCTTAAGCTATGGCTTTTGTGTTAGTAGCTGCTGTGACTGAAATGAAGTTACAACGTAAATATATTTGTGCAGAGCAGTGTCAGGCATTTCCTCTGCCCTTTGTCAAGGCTCTGGCTCTCTTTTTTTTCTGATGTAAAGCAGCCCAAATCTCTGACCCAGTTCAAAACTGGAATGGATGAGAAATTCCTGTTTAACTAAAAACAAAAAGAAAGAAAGGGGGAAGGGCGGAGGAAAGGGGGATCAAACATCTCATGGGTGAGCTGTTAACAGTAAAAAAAAAAAAAAAAAAAAAAAAAAAAATTATTTTTTAATGTTGACCTATGCTGATGGGTCTGTGGATTTTAAAAATTATCATGAAACCAGAAGGCAAGCTCAACTGTGGTCTCATTAAGTCTGAGCAGCAGTTTCCAGTCCTCTGCTCAGTGACGAGTTGTTTTCATGAGTGTTTATGATGGGGGAGAGCTTTTCCCCAGGAATGCTACATGTGCCCCAGCCGGAGCCTGGCTGCTGAGTCAGCACAGAGGGAAGTGGCCTCCTGCCAGTGCTCAGGCGCAGGACATTGTCTGTTCTGTGGATGTTCCCCTGACAGTGTGCAGTGGTCCTCATTAAGTCTGAGAATCACATCAGACCAAAATTCGGTTGGAAACAAGTAAAAGCAGGAGCCGGATGGAGGTGTGAGGAGGATGGGGGAGTTCCTGCTTCTCTGTAATTTTTTTTTTAAGGCAAAAATTGGGGGGGAAAAAAAATGAATAATTTAAACTCAAAGACAAAGTTAAAGATACAAGGATCATGTATTATCATAAATCCTGTGTTTTTGTTTTTTTGGTTTTTTTAGAGTTGCTAGAGTGTTTAAAATAAAGTCATTGTCTCATAGTCTGAGTCGCTGAACTATTACATTGGAGGTTCTAAAATTTTGAAACAAAAACAGACAAGATCTAATTCCCAGCATGTGGAACATGCCGGGTCTGGGCCGTCTGCTGGTCCATGGGCTCTGGTCATGCGCCCAACCCCTTCACTGGGGGACTATTCTAAATTTAACCAAGTCCCAGGGAAAGAGATGCAAATTTGTTTACCCAGTGGAATCATTGTGTCTCAGAAGCCAGGTTTGGCTTGGTTTCCACACCCCAGCATCCTGGGATGTTTTGAGGCAGCAGTTGGTGATACCTCTCCAATGTGAATTTGTTGTTCAGCAAATCCGTGTGGTTTTCAACCCAGATTTTTAACAGGGTGGCTGGCTGGCTGTATTCACACTTTGCGCTTTGTAATAATATGCAAATCCACTTGGCGCCCAGTCAATACCCAAAAGAGTGGAAGGATTAAAGATACTTATAAGGGGGGAAATGCTCTGCTAACTGGGTCTTTCCATTTCACTTTGAGATCTAATTTACATGTCAGTATTATTTTAACATTTGCTACAGAATCCAGAGCTCTTAATGAGATCAGAATACAACCGACAGCTTCAGCTTTTTGATTGTGCAGAATGTGCTAATTAATTTATGGATCGTCTCTTCTAAATTGAGAAAAAAGGGATTTTCCCTCCCTATACTGAGAAGCTATAAATATTTTCATTTACCTCTACCCCCGCCTTATTAATTTTATAACGAAAACAACCCCACTCTCCCCCTCTCATCCCGTGTTCGTGATTGCTCCCGGGTGAGAAAAACACTAGATTAGCCTGAACTTTCCTCCTGAATCAAGTCACTGCAGTGATGACCCAGTCTGAAAAGCTGAGAGCAGCGCTGGGGGCTTGGTGTCTGGCTGGGACTGTGTATTCCTAACTGCAGAGCTTTGTTGCGATGCAAATAACCTCCCCCCCACCCCACCCCACCCCACCCCAAACCCTCCTAAGGAGTAGCAATTTTATATTTGATTTCCTTTTTTTGTTTTGTTTTTTGTTTTGTTTTGTTTTGTTTCCCCTCATAAACCCGAACAATGTAGGTGTCTAGTCATATACAGGTCTTAGCAAGAAAGAAAGTTCGAGAAATTCAAGCCGCCATTAAGGTACGTCTGGCTTGCCCAGTTGTAGGGGGCTTTTCATCTCCATGGTTACAGGCTTTTCCTTTGTTTTCCTCCCTTCCCCTACCCTGCAGGTGTCTAGTCACATTCAGGTTCTTGCCAGAAGGAAATCTCGTGATTTTCATTCCAAGCTAAAGGTATGCGCTTTCCTGCTTTTTGGCTTGTGGTTGCTATGCATCTCACTTCCTGTTTTCCATGGTGACTGGTGAATGCCTGGTGCTGGGATTCTCGTAACCTAGTTTCCTCGCATGTGAGAGCTGTTTACATTTCTTTGTGTCTAATCTCTCTGTTTCTGAACTAGCCTCACATTAAGCCCAGTATGTGTGCGCGTGTGTGTCCCTAATAACAATGCAAATGCAGCAGAGAGCTGGTCTTGATAACTTTTCAGCACAAAAACCTGATTTATTTTTTTTTTTTTTTTAACCTTCAAATATCCACCAAGCAGCCCTGGGCTAGGAGAGAGAAAAAAAATCCAGGGACACAAAGTTGATGTGGAAATTATAAACAAGAATCATTTCCACAGTGGTCATCATGAAATTACTTTTAATAAAACAGTAAAATTATTAAAATAGGAATTAATTTGTACTTTTGATGTATTTTCGAAAATATTCATATTCTAATTTTTTTCATGTGTTCTTCCAACACAGAGATATTTTCTGCCAGATTTCTTCCACAATGCTTAATATTGTTTTCTAAGTTAAAAAAGAAATTTAAGGTGAGACCTTAAAAAAAACAACAACACATGTCTTAAAGATGGGAAAGCTTCTATCAAGTCTATATTTGCAGTTCCATTTATAATTGAGTTTACTGTAAAATGTTTTTACACGTGCCTCAGTTTCTGTCCCTTAAAAATATATTTCATAGCAAAAATGAAGGCATGGACAATGTTTTAAATACACATTCTTCCAAAATTGGCAGTAAAGCATGTGAGACGTTTCCCACCCCACATAATTCCATTTTAGAAATGCAGAGATTATAATTTATATGGAGGAATTTTTATTATAAAAGTGAATTTGTAGCTCATATTGTTGCCTTTCCCACATGCCATTTTTGGTTCTGTCCTGTTTTTCCCCCACACACACATTAAATAAATTCGTGTTTTCATTGTAAACCTAAAGAATAGCGTGTACTTTCACAGCACTGAGTGGTGAACACTGGGACCCTTCCCAAAGTTCTCCAACTTTTTTTATGCAAACAAGTCTGGCTGTGGAATAGCGCTAGTTACCAGGAAGGAGCATTTGGTGTGCCCTCTGCAGTGGGCAGCATGCTGGCTCGCTCGCACGTGTGGCTGATGGTGGCTGGCTTTTAGCTGCACTGGCTGAGCAGTCGGAAGATAACTTCTTAGATCCTGCTTTTTAACCAAAGGTGCATTCCTCTCTATGTGGATGTAACTTCCTCAGTATTTGCTCAAGTTCTGACTTTTTCTAGTTTCTCTGTGCTAACGGATTAATGGTGTTCAAAGAAGTGTACCGACATCAATTTTGTGTTTCCATCTGAGATGTTATAAATTGCTCTATTTCTCTGCTGTCTTTGGGGTTCCTGTGGACTCTCCAGGGCACACAGCCCTAAACTGAAAACCCTATAAGTGATGCATGACGATCTCCTGTTCAAAAGGGGTCCCGTGGGGTGCTGGAAGCACTCCTTCTCTCACTTGGTGATTTAAGAATCTTCTTCAATGGAAACAGTCTTGCCATTGCTTTATACATATCATACACATAAACATACAGTTGTATTTGCGTTTGTTCTTAAAAAATAAAAAGACTTCCCCCACTTACAGCCCTGGCCCACTATCCTGTGGAGCAGACACAAGGAGGAGGCAGACAGAAGCAGTCGAGGAGCACCTAGCTCCAAATTTCAGCTCCAAGAACCACCTCTATTTTCCTGTAGCTTCTTTCCTTTTTCTCTACCTCAGAAAAATGGAGGCCTTTGTTCTTCCCATCAGCTAATACCAATTGTGTGTTCCAGGCATGGTGGGCAGCTAACAGCCAACCCCTTATTCACAGAGCTGGCCATGCAAAGGGGACTGTGAAATTAGGGCACTGTTGGAGAAGTGCTAGCAGGAAGAGCCAAAATAAAATGTGGAGGGAATCCCAGGGACCAGGGACGAGTGGCCTGGAGGACGTACTGCTGTTTGGGAACTGAAAGGCAGGAGGCGGTGAGGCGCAGAGCCTCTCCCACATGTTCTCCTGTTTACCCGTGCTACACAGGAAGTTCCAGCCATTACACAGATTTGAGGAATATTTAGGAGACTAGGGTTCCAGGAGTTTAATTGAGTTGCCAAAAGCCAAGCCTAATAAGTGTCAGAGTTAGGATCTGAACTCAGGTCTTTCTGAATCCTACTTTCAGATAGGGTGTTACCTCTTTCAGATAGGGTGTTACCTCCTGGAGGTGGGAGAATGTTTTCAAATTGAAGGCTGCACATCAGCACACACTATAAATAACCTGTCATCTCTTGGAGCTAGGCAGGCAGCACTTGCTACCAGCCTTTCCTCAGCACCCACATTTTAGAAGACGACTTTTTGAGCTCTTGCTCAAAATATGAACTGAATTTGTGATTAACACTGTGGTGATTGTCAGCAGCAAAGGGTGATGTGATCATAGCTGCAGTACTGCTGGTTCACCACTCTGAGGGCATTAGGACAGTTGAGGAGAATAAGGTTGTCACATGCCTGTAGAGATGTGGCTGCTTTGACCTCCCAGGGGCATTATATATGAAAGATGTCCCCCTTAGCCTCCCCTAGCAGCCATCCCCAGATCATGGGCTCAAGTCTTAGGACCTTGTAGGAGGAGGAGATCTCACCGCTCTGTCTGTACTTGCTTGTTCAGCTGGGAGTCGCATACATTTGTGGGAGGCAAGGATGAGCATCCTTGCTGAGATCATTGTGGGGTCAGGCTTATAGCCACATCTGCTTGGCCTCCCACACTAAGTAATGAGATAAAGTCTCTACTGAAAGTTGAAGTCATCCCCAACAACAACAAGGATAGCTTCTGAGCAGGCACTGAGGTAGCAGGGAGTAACCAGACTTATGAGAGACGCTGTACTTTGCCTGGGAAGTTGTAGCAAGGCTTCCTGGAGATGGTGGCTGGTGTCTGACCACCTCAGGACCTGTCCTTGCAGTTCCTGCCTCAGCCAGGCTGCTCACTATTCTCCACATGCTCAGAAGTCTAAGGGGTTCTGTTCTCTGAGGTGGACCACGGTGTGTGGCCCTGCTGTGGAGGCTGAAGCCAAACTCCTTTTCCCTGTCCTCCTTTGGAGTTTGAATAAGTGGTTGGCTCTCACCTGGGGCCACTGCCAGGTATGGCTTCCCCATGAGCCCGCTTTGCCTTACAGGCTCTCTTCACTTCCTGGGGAAGGGTGTCGTAGAATTTTTTTAAACTGTGGTTTCCCAGACATTTTTAGGCAGCAAAACTCATGTTTCAGGTTAAAATCTTACTTGAAACCTTAAACATATAAAAGAATAAAGGATGTTTTAATTGAAGCTCAGACTCTCTCATCCTCAGCCATGGCTTCTTTGGCTGTTCCATTGAATAAGCTTTGAAAAACCACCGTTCCTTTGGCAGAAAGAAGATAAGATGTCTGCCTCTCAGCTTTCCCTCCTAACCTTAACAGGAAAAGCTCGCATGTCCCATGTAAGTTTTTAGTTCTATAGTCTATTCTGCCATATTCCTCCAAAGAAAACTCTCAAGAAGAGACTGGTCATTCTCATGTCAGTTATGGGTGAGTCATCCTCACTACCCAAGTCTGTTGAGTGAGTTCCAAAGGTCAGCTTAGCAGCAGCTAACAGCACTGCTTCCCAGAGTGCTTGTTTGTGAGCCACATCCCTCTTTTTCTGTGTGGACTTTAATTCTATTTTATTTTTCATAACAAAGTGTGTTATAGTATAAGTTTAAGATTCTGTGTCGAGTCCAACTGTAAAAGCACAAAAGTGACCACTTAATTTAGTCCAGTCAACTTCTCATTGAGTACCTGGTGTGTTCTCGACTCCCTAGGAGAAATCAGGCACAGAGAATTACAAGCAAAGTCTCTGTCCTTGAGGAACACTAAACTTTTATGTTATTTTTGGCTACATTTGGGGAGAAGACAAGATTCCCAGTAGATTGTCCTGGGAATAGGTGGGCTCTACAGGAAACATTTAAGAGAGTCGTGCAAAGATTGCATAGTGAGTGGGTGTTTAATCCTGAGGGTTGGGGATTAAAGAAAGCCTATGGAAGAGATACCCTTAGAACTGAGCAAAGAGGAAGGCAGAACTTCCACTGACCTATGGGGATGTTTGGGTAACCATGAGGAACACCATCTGGTTGGAAGCAATGGATGGGAAATGCCACCCGAGGAGCCTAACATTCCTGGGATCACCCCATGGAAAGTGAGGTACATCTGTGAGCCATGGGAAGCAGATAGGGTAGATGTTGATATTTACTAATTTAGAGGTTGCTGTAAAGTCTGAGAGAGAGAGATGCATGGACCAAGGCCACCACACACATACCCTTGGGGCCTAAAGCACTCATTGGTCCTTATCATCACCCTTGGCTGGCTCCCCATTCCAGTCCACTTGGACTGCTGTGTACACTTTCTTCCTCACTGTTTGTAGAGTAAATTCTGTTTAAAAGTTCTATCCTTATTGCCGAAACCAGTTTGGCTCAGTGGATAGAGCGTCAGCCTGCGGACTGAAGGGTCCCAGGTTTGATTCCGGTCAAGAGCTTGTACCTTGGTTGCGGGCACATCCCCAGTAGGGGGTGTGCAAGAGGCAGCTGACCGATGATTCTCTCTCATCGATGTTCCTAACTCTCTATCCCTCTCTCTTCCTCTCTGTAAGAAATCAATAAAATATATTTATAAATAAATAAATAAATAAATAAAAGTTCTATCCTTATTAAGTTACAAAGGGTACACCACAGCTGTTCAAATGGCAGCATTTGAAACAGGTTATTAAAGATTGGGTTCTCTTAAAATCATGGCAAGTAACTGAAGGTGTGCATCAAAATTAACCATGAAGTTTTTATTGTTGCTAAATTTAAAATGTAACAAATAGTTAAAAAGTGCAGAGAGCTGAAACCAGTTCAGCTCAGTGGATAGAGCGTTGGCCTGTGGACTGAAGGGTCCTGGGTTCGATTCCAGTCAAGGGCATATACCTGGTTG